AGAAAAGGCCTTCATGATTGTATTTAGATCTTTCGTGATTTCTCCTTCAAAATTTATTGTTTGGATTGGTTGTGCTGCTTCCAGTTTTCCATTATTCTATTTTGTCAAGAAACCCCTTGGATTTTGTGAAGCCTTAGTACAATATTTTTTCCAGGAGGTGAGTTTTGCTTTTTTTATAGCATCTGTATAGATTGTTAGATGCTCCTGGAATTGTTCCTTCAGTTCTATTCTCCTTGGTTCTACTTTACATTTTTCATACATTTTTCTATAGTTATTGTTTGCTTTCCACATTTTTGTCAAATCTTCACTCTACCTTGGCACCAGTCTTTTCTCAATTGTATATTTTGGAATTGCCATGTTGCATGCAGTTTTAATGTTCTCCACAATTTTTTAAATTTTTTGTTGGGCCTCCTCTCTTGTGAGTGATGGGGTTGTGTCAGTGTGTTCAGAGCTGTATTGGTTCCAGATCTCCCAGTTTGCCTGTGATGTTTTATACTTAAGTTCTTTGGGAAGACTGGTTGTAGAAATCTATGTCAAAAGCAATATACGAATGGTCACTTAAAGTGTCATCTTGCAATATCTTCCAGTTAATAACATTATTGAAAATGCTGGATGAACTGACTGTTACATCAATTCAACTTTTACCTCTGCTGAAGATGATTGGTGGCAGTGTTAGATCATTGTGTAAAAGCAAATTGTTTGATCTCTAGAATTCTGGAGATCAAACGATTTGCTTTCCTCTAGGGTCTCTTCTAGGGTCAAAGGCTTCTCCTTTACATACTGGGGAGTGAGACTTGACATCTCCTGCAATGATAATATTTTTATTTGGAAGTATGTCCATAATTCTTTCAATTCTGTTTAGGAATCTCTTGTATGTCTCTGTAACCTGGGTAGTAACTATTTATCAGTAGGAAGCCAAAGTTGTTTCTGTTTATTTAACAGCATACTACAAAGTCATTACTTAAGTTTTTACTTTCCTGGCTGTTATATATAACAGAGGGAAAGTATGGTAATTGGTCAAAAAATGAACCCCAAGATTTTTACATTTTTTTGACTCAGAACTTTGAAATGTTGAGAAATGCAAAGAAATTTGGGGAATTTTTGTACGTATGGATGTGTATGTGTGGCACAATTTTGTTCACTCTGTTTGAAGCTTAATAACTGCTATGCTTTTTGTCAAATATTTTAAAATTTTGCAGGGAAGTTTGTTACTATATTGCAAATTTTAATGTCATCAGCATATATAAATATTTTAGAGGACACCTAACTTCACAATACACCAGAATGAATATAAAAAGTGCGACTCACAACAACCAATTAACTGGCGTGAAAATGATTAACATTTGAGTGACAAACATTTTCGTAACCCCTTCTGGGCTCTTCTTCAGGCTTCTTTTTAATTCAGAACAGGCTGGCAGTTAACATTCGAATATAAAATCGAATGGTAAGAGATTACGTTTTCACATCAGTTAATTGGTTGTTGTTAGTTGCACTTTTTAGAGGACACCATCATTAAAACTTGATCTATATAAGAAATAAAAAACAAGTAAAACAGCAAAGCCATTTTTGGGATGAGACTATGTCTCACTATATGTGCATTTAAATTAAAACTCAGGCAAAATTGAAATACAAAATCGAAGATACTATGAAATATTCTTTCTACTGAATTTTAAAATTAAAGTTTTTATAAAGAATACATCTTGAATTTTAAATATGAAATCAAATTTTTAAAAAACAAAATGTTTTGTGAATATTTTTAAAATGTGAAATTTTACATTGCATTTGCATTTGTTTGTTGTTTCAGTTTGCGAGTAATGCATGTGCAAATCTCGCACTAGCACCTGTTTGTAGAAACAGTTCTGCCATTTTGTATTTTATTTTGACCCTGTTCTCAGTCCCCTGACTACCTACAAGTCTGGGTTTTTTTTCTGTATGCATGATTTGGACACAAATACTCTGTGCCAAATTGCGACTCCTGACACATACTCCTTCATACCTCTAAGATGTCCAGCCATTGCATGTCAATGGCTGGACATCTTAGAGACAGCAACATGATTTTATAGATGAGACATAGTTTCGTTAATAAACAGCTTAAAATGGAATCATGTGAAATATCTTTAACTGTCGAGAAAGAAAGAAAATATTAATCATTTTGTTTTACAGTATAATATCATTAGTTAATAAACATTAGAACAACCAATAAGTTCTTGACCAATCTCATCAAAGACATAAATACAGTAGTGTGTTGATTATCTGAAAGTCAATCATCCGAAAGAATTCCAGTCGGCAAATTTAAATTTTCGCCAGTGCTGTGGCGCTTAATCTTTGGCTATGTCTTGGGCTACTCAAATAATTTACGTTTTTGATACTAAATTAACTTCTGAAGTATAATTTTTTATTGTTTTTATATTTTTCAATATANATATATATATATATATGTATAAATACAAAATAAAACATAAATCAGATATATTATTATATATCATGTAATAATATCATAAATAAACAGAATACCAAAAATGTAAAATTAAGGCATAAGTTAGGAGTTCTTAAAAAACTTTTAACTAAGTACTTCCATTCAGATAGTAAATCTTTAATGTCTTTTGCATTGATGCACATATCTTGTAGCTTGCCCTTATAAATTTCAATTTTTTCTGTGCTCATCACTAAAGTTGGGGAGTGTAAGGACTTAACAATAGCTGCTTCCTCCCATTTTTCTACAGAGCCTTCAGCCTGCACCATCTGAGATAATACAAGTAGCATCAGATCATTTCTTGACATTATATTTATGCTCCTTGAGCCTGATTCCTAAACTTCTTGTTGTAGTTTTTTTTTATTCCTAATTGCACATTTTCATATGGAATTCTGTACACCGCTGTCTTTCCTTCTTTATTAATGCTATCCTTTTCATTCCTTAATATTGTATAGTGCAGCGTTTTTCAAAGTGGGCAATAACACCCCCTTGTAAGTAAATCCCCCATGCAGTGAGTAAATCTAGGGGGAGCGATGGAGGCAGGATAATGAACGATGACCAAAGGCAAAAGTCAGGGTAACTGACAGCCGTTCCCTTTCCTCTGTTAAACTGATAAGAGGAAACATTGCATTTAATGGTTCCAGATGTTGATAACAATGTACGGTAAGGGCACAAAGTGTGAGATTCATAGAAAAGCTTTCCTAAGAATATTTCCAATCCTTTCTCACACAAGAGAAAATGGGTTAGGGGCATTGGGTATAACTTTATGGAACAAAGGGGGCGGTGGATTGAAAAAGTTTGGGAATCACTGGTATAGAGGTTTGAAGTTCTTTTCAAAACCATTCTTGACCACATGTAGTCCACAATTTCATGACTTTTGTATTTGAACTTTGTGATTCTACTGATATCACTGTTTGGAGTCTGTTATGCCCATTTTGTAGCTTTTAATCATTCCTGTTATTGTTTCTGCTCTGTATCCTAGAGTTCTGGTTACTTACAAAATTCTGTTTATCTCCTTCTGCCTATCAACTGCACTACTACAGTACAGAAAGGCCCTTCTAATTTGGCCCTTAACTTTAAGGTTCTTTTAATTTGGAATGCAGCCAGTTTATATCAGTAAGTATCATTTAATTGCGACGGGATGTAAAGCATACCATGCGTCAGTTTGATGTACAGTACAGTATGTACTAGTGACCAAAGAAAGACACAATAAAGATTACTCACTAGTCTCACTGTTAGAAGAAGAAATCTTTACTTATAGTTATGTTCATTCTAGTTTATTAATTTTACAAAACAATTTGCAAATTATGTTTAAGCTTCTCACACTATGTTTGCTCCCAATCCATAATTTAGGATACCAGAACCACTTCTTGCATTAATCAGTCACTTCATTTTGTTATATGTGGTAAGAAAGGCAAAACTTTCTAACAGTTTTATTCAAGAACTACAGAAATTCATACTTCTTAAATAAAACTTATTCTATGTCATTTCAGAATTTTATTCTGCATTTATATTATAATTCAAAGTTATTTATATTCAGTTTAAAAATATAATAAATGGGTGATTTTATTAAAGGGATTCATATGGAATCATATCTAGATGTTATGAACAAGCTTTTGTATGAACTTGGATTGGCAAAAAAATATAAGTTTGTATGGGTCTTTAAATTCCAATGATCTAATTTGTTATTTATCGTATTTACTCGCATATAAGATAATCTCGCACATAGAACGAGGTGTGACATTAAAGATAAAAAAGAAAAAAGAAAATTAGATTTATTAATATGATTCTAATTTTATTTAATTTAATCACAAATAAAATATCAAATGTATATAAATGCACACATTGTTTTTGCAAAAATTACTGGCATTTTAAACTTTAAGGAAAAATATTGTAAAATTAACAACATAATTTGTTCACGTAAAGCTGGACAATCGGGAACCTTTTTTGTCAATTCTTAACAGTCAAATCCACTCTCTGTCAATTACACTGAGAATTACAACGAGTTTCTCTGAATTCTGATTTCTGAGTAATCATCTATTTTCATACAGGAATGGATTAAAATTTATATTGGGCACCCATGTGATTTTGGAATTTTAATTTGGAATTCAATTCAAAAGCTTTGCTTTTCCTATTGTTATTCATCTTTACTCCTGACAATATAGAAGAATTATTCAAACAATCCAGATAAAATAGTTTTGTTTTTAAACACCAGAGGGTGATTATCCAGTAAAAAATGCAAATACACAGTTCACAAAAATTATTGCAAAAACACAAAGAATTTTTTGCTTGCTCATATAGGATGATCTAGGTTTTTGAAACAGTGAAAAATGAATAAAACCTTGTCTTATACATGAGTAAATATGGTATTATTAATTAATAGAAGATTATTTTGTATGTGGTTAATTGTCATCATTATTATATTTATTTTCAGTTATCATTGGTATAATTATAATTTTTAAAATAGAAATGTCAATTTTAAATTGATTGTGTATAGTAATGCTTAACAGTTTGTGTATTCATGTAGGATACAACATTTGAACATCATTTTCAGGAAATTCCAAAATTGCCTTCGGTTCCACCTGAGGTGATGAGAACGGCAAGTGAAAGGCATCAAAAAGGATTAATGTCTCCGTGGATATATCAAATCCTTTCTCAAGTAAGAATTGAATTTAATTAAAATCTTATTTAAAAAATATAAGATACAGTAGAACCTCTATATTTGATACATTCTATAATCGTCATATTTGTCAGTATTTTCTGTATTTATTGTCATTCCCAACACCGGCAGTGGTGCTAGAATCGCACACTTACACTGATTATTTAGCTGTGTTAAGCTTAGTGTTGCCAATTTAGCTAATTTTTTGCTAGATTTAGTGGATTTATGAACAATCTAGTTATGCAAATTACCTAAATTATAATGGCCTAGCTATTTTTATAATGCTATCTAGCTACAAAAACTCAAGCAATTTTAATGGAAACAATATGATTTGAATATTTTTATTAAAATGTCTAGCTATAAATTTGAATTTTGAGTTGGCAACACTATGTCAGCTAGCTGTAGTTAATCAGTCTGCTTTGTGCAGTTGTGGTGTGTGTTCTTGATTTCTTGCGTTATTTTCAAAAACTCAAGTTCCAATGGCTGCAACAAAGCGCACTGCAGAAAAACAGCAACAAAGGAAATCTGTTAGAACAACAATAGAGAAAAAAAAAAATTATTTCTAAGTCTGAAAATGGATAAAGTAGAGAGGTTGCAGCCGAAGTTTTCATCTCTAAAATATGAATGTTGAACATTGAGTGCCGTCATCTTGTAATCCTAGAAGTTTGACAATGGCATTAAAAACATCATTGGAATAATGCTCGACATTCCAAATGTCATTATCAAACTTCTAGGCTTACAAGATGGCAGCGCTCAACGTTTGACATTCATGTTTTAGAGATCAAAATTTTGACCACAATCTCTCTAGCATTTCCAACTTAGCCAAAGAATTTAATATGTTGAGATCATAATTTGAATTACCTAATGTTTTAATTGATGGTATGTCTTCTTCTAAACAATAATAACCTTACTTTTATTACCGAAAAGGTAAGAATGCTTGAACAGCATTCTTACCTTTTTGGTAATAAAAGAGCAAAATATGCCGAAAATGCTGCTTTTGATCTTCCGTATTTGATGGGACACAAAAAATAAACAATTGCACAAAAGCAAACAAAATTTTTTACAAATAAGCCTTAAAATGCTAGCTGTCAAAATATATAATGATAATACGGTTTAGAATTAAAATGGTGGGAAAAATACGACTAATCCGTCTAATGGTAAAAAAAAAAACAAAATTACTTTCCGAACAACCCAATAGTATGTGAGAACAGGTCTTTAAAATTTATTTTTATTTCTGCTCATTATTTTGCTATGCTAATAAACCTGATTATTTACCTGGGTGATCAGTACAACCACGTTAATCATGTGCTCATTCAAAAGATTGTGGTCAGAACACTGTGATTGTGGTTGCTTTCAGAAAATGCTTATGATTAGTTTTGTACAGCCAAGGTGGGTCTCAAACCTATGATCAGTTGGCCAGATATGATTCCTGAATATTTATCTAGTCCACATATCTTGTTTCCTAAATATTCTGAGACAAGACACCTGTATTGGTTTCAGCAGATAGTTTTAATGTAGGAAAACAACCAAACAAACATTTTTGATCACTCTCAAATTTCTTTGTTAGTTTAATGTACTGTTCTATCAATCAAATATTATTTAAGCAGCTTTTTTTTTTTTTAAAGAAACAAAACATTCTATGTGCTTTGTGAAGATGTTCAAATTCAAAACATAAATGTGATGTACAGAAATACATGTACAGTACATAGCAGTGAAATATGACATAATAAAATTTATCAAATATGCACATAACTTTCTATGATTTGAGATAGACTAGAAAAAAATTTTTTTAAGTTGTAACACACTTATTAATGACTAGTGTTGAGGTGACAAAATTTACAATGTTGTGTTAAAGTTTGTTGCAGTTGGAGACAATGTAACATTGATTGCCACACTTGCGATAGGTTAATATTTTCTTTACTATTAATACAACTTTTCTTGAGTATTGCTTTATAAATTTTGATAGTTTTGGTTATTTTTAGCTGTTGTATATTGAAGGTGATGTGTAGGAGTTTATCCCAACTCTGGGGAAACCTGGGGCTCGTGAGGAAATTGGGCCAGAACAGTGTTATAATTCATTTTTGAGGTGTCGTACACAAGCTCCCTTATCTCGATTATTAATGATCTGTTAGTTGTGAGCCTATGTGTATCTTGTTTCCACCAACATATTTTACCATCAACATTTGAATTAGTTCAAAGCATATAAACTTTTGAAAAATCATCTAGAATTAACAGTTCTTGTTGCAAATGATTTTTATGAAAGCTATTTAGTAAGGAGTTTAACAAATTAACACAAAAAAACTTTTTCACTTTTCACCAGTATTTAATTAAATTAACAAGAAAAAATAATTTTGGCTTTATTAATAGGCCTTTTTCGGTTTCTAAGAATACAAAATGGAATGTTTTATATAATGTACATTTTAAGTAGAATATATAGCTATATAAAATTTCAGATAGCATTTAAATTGGTGTTTCAAACAAGGAAATGAATAAATAACAGAAAGATAAAAAATTAAAGTATTGTAAGGTTAAAATATGTCATTAGTAATATAGATACATAGAAAAATAATAAATGAGAAAGATTACATAAACAACCATACAACTTAGGATCTACCATGTGATAACACTATAAGTCTTCATTTACCTTATATGTCTTCTGACTTTACCCTAGCATATGATATTGTATAGAGACTGTTTGCATATTATGCTTATGATAATGAGTCAGTAGCTTTGTAATTGATTAAATCAATCTATTATTTATTGTACAAACTGCACATACTCAGTATAGTTGGGCAGAACTGGATAATTACAACACAAAGATGATTTACAAACATCTAAATGAATAGTGTTGATAAATAGGTTTGTGTTTGATTAGAGAAGACGTTACTTTTTGTTGAAAATGTAATTGAAGATTTTGTTGCAGTTCTCTGTTTCCTAGGTGGCTTTCCTAGGATTAAGTCAGCATTCTTTTTATTTCAGTTTTCTTGAAGTAATTATGAATAAGTTTCTTAAGCTTTTGAAATGTTTCTTCTTCTTCCAACAGAAGATTTTGTGTGCATGGCCAGGCAATTCCTCTCTTTTTGCAGGACAATTTCAAGTTCCATTATTTCTTGTTCTACTATTGGACAGTCTAAAAGATAATGTTCACTTTCATCTGTAGGTTCACAGATGGTATATTTATTATTGTCTGAGAATTCAAAGTGATGAAGATATGTATTAAAACATTTATGGTCTGTATGAAACTACATTGAATAGTGGTTAAATTTCAGCTTTTGGAGTTTTTCTGTTTTCTTGATATCTGGGATATATGAATATGTTAGTTTATTTGTTTGTGAATTTTTTGTCTCTTTAATCCTTTTGGTAGACTATCTCACAGCAAAGGTTAATAAATTCTTTTATTAGTTTTCACATATGCATTTCGAACCGGTGTAACATTTCGGTTCCTCTTCAGTGTTCTACAATTATAAAAATTAAATTGATATAATTTAAAAAAAACCAACAAAGTAATTTGTTAAGTAACATAACATAAACACATCACAAATACCTCTAAGGGTTTTACACATTTCTTATTTCATACAGTTGGATCGTTACTTACTAAAACACCAGTACAAGGAGTAAAAAGTAATATGATGAAATTATCGCTATAAAAACAAAATAAAAACTAAGTGGTAAATATTTCAAAAAAGGAAAAGGGGTATTTTTATAAAATATGCACACTGACCTTTTCTTTTGGTTTAATATGCTTTGAAAAACAATCAATATTTTTAGATTTGGGTTCGCAATAATTAAACATTTCTATAAATAACAATTTACAATGACAATATGAATAAACATCGTAACAAGCAAGTTGTACAAAGATTTTATAAAAGTATACATACAGGTTTCTTTCTTTCTAATATTGTAAATGCACAAATGTCAACTTACACTAGGTAACTTACACAAAGTAACCTTTACAATCATTCTTTTAGTGTTAAGTATCACAAAACAAACTTTTTATTGGTCTATTGCCACGCCCTCTATGATGTCGTACCACTGTTGTTCTATTTGCATGCCATTAGAGATATTTATTAAATTATTGTTTTTATTTTTTATTATTTCAATATGTTCTTTGAATTTTCTTTTATATATATTTTTTTCTGTGTGTAAGATTTTAATATTATTTCTATCAATTTTACATTTACTATTTTTAATATGGTTATACCAGGGAGAGTTGTTATAATTTAATCTAATGGCAGCTTCGTGTTCTTTAATACGTGTCTCTAATGTACGACCAGTTTCACCTATATAATATTTCGGGTTTTGGCAATTACAATTGATTTTATATACAACACCAGTTTTCTTCAATACATCATTATTAAATTTGTCTGTTTTTGATCTATTAATATGAACATTCTGTGAGATTTTGTTGGTCAAAGCTGGGGCCAATGCCACATTCTCTTTTTTAAGATTTTTATTACAATTATTAAAAATATTATCAATGTATGGGAAGGGTTTATATGTTTTGTCTTTTTTAATTTTTGTATTAAACCTATTTTTATCATATTGTGTTTTCCATATCATCAAAGTTTTCTTGGGATAACTATTTAAAATGAATTTCTGTTCTAATTCTTTTAATTCAATTTTTCGGTCATTTTCGTTGGTGGTTCTTGTATATATATTTTTTAATTCCATTATATATGTATTCTTTTTTACTGTCTGTGGAATGCTAGAGTGATAGTTTATTGTTTTATTTACATTGGATGGTTTTTTATAAGTATTAAACGTAAATTTATCTGTTTCATTATTTATTGTTATATCAAGAAAATTAATTTTATTATCTTTTTCCAATTCTATATCAAATTTAATATCATTATTTATACTATTAACTGTGTTAAGAATTATTTTATCATTAGTTATTTTATTATTAAATATTACTAAATAGTCATCTACGTACCTCATTACGGTCTTTATCCCTGGGATGTTTTGTATTTTTTTGTCTATTTCTATCATTACTAATTCAG